GGAGGCCCGAATCTGCCGCATCTACGAGGGCAGAAGCCGGCTGCTGCCGAAGGCGGTAGTAATACACTCGCGGCATGCCGCCGCGACTTCTTGAGGTCCTGCAGGAACAACAATTAACATCGTTAATAAAGTCCAATCGTGCCAAAGAGCGCGTCATGGAAATCAAGAATACATCACGTACATGGAGGACATCTTGCTCGACTCCAAAGCAGGATTGCGTCGGATCTGGCGGCTCTTGTCTAAATGATACCAATTAAATTATGCCCATAAATCAAACAGGGCGTGTTTTTTGGCGCGAAATCTTCCGGCATGTAAAAAATGCAACACCAGGAAGACGACAGCGACAGGGTGCAGGCAACTCCGAGCTCCGAAGAACGACCGTGACAAACCATGCCACTCCCCTGCGGTGTGGGCTTGTGGCCTCTCTTCCACAGACGAGCCGTCACCACGGAGCAACTCCTGCGTGGGGTGGCTTCCAGCTTCGCTCTTCTCCTCTTTCGTTCTTACACTTCGCACACTACGAATCAACCACCCCCAGTGCTTCGAGGGACACTAAACACGCTACACGCCACACGCGCTGTGGCCCACCGTGCTTTCGCTCTTGCACAGCTGTACATACATGGAGGACCTCCCACTTTCCATCAGCGGACCTGGACCCGTGGCCGTGGCCCACCACGCACTCCAGCAGCAGGCACGCCCTCCTTCTCCTGTCGTTGGTTTACTTGGCGCTTGGCTTGGGTGATCGACGAGCGCCCAGGCTCACATGCCACCCACCCGTGGCGTGCAGTCCATGGCGACCAGTAGCGGTAGGACCCACTTGCCCTCCTCTCCGCCTGCCGGACCCAAGAGTACCGCGCACATGGGAGAGTTGGCTCATAAGGCAGCCATGACCCAGGCCCCTCCGCAGGCGCCACAGAAGACGACGCGGGAGCAGGACGAAGACGACGAGGAGGACGAAGAAGAAGACGACCACGAGGCCGCCATCGACGGCCGCGGCCGGCAGGTGATGGGGGTGGAGGGAGCGGAGGCGCCCGGCAGTAGCGGCCGCGGGCGCAAGCGACAGCGCAAGACAGCGGAGCAGGTGTCGGTGCTCGAGGCGCACTTTTCGGCCAACCCGCTCCCCGACAAGGCCCTCCGCGATCGCTTGGGCGTGCAGCTGGGCCTCACCACCCGCCAGGTCCAGATCTGGTTCCAGAACAAGGTACCCCACCCTCGACCCCCCCCCATTGAGCCCCCGTGGCTTCCTCGCGCCTCATTCGGCCCGATGCGCAGCGGGCCAAGGCCAAGCAGGATCAGCAGCAACCACTGCAGCCACCGCTCCAGCCGACGGGTCCTGCCGCCCTCCTCCCCGCGGTACGCTCCTCCCCGTGTGTTCGCTCCCGTGTGCCCCTTCTACTCGGCCCCCTAACCCTTCGCCCTCCGCGTGGTCCGTCGTGCAGAAGAGCGCCGTGCAGGTGGTCGCCGGGGCAGCTGCGGGGGTTGGCGTCTCTTCCCCCGGCAAGCGGAAGCGTTCAGATCTCACCGCCGCCGCTGTAGCTGCCACCACGACTGCCTCTCCGTCGGCGGCGCCAAAGGCTGGTGGTGCGGCCGTCGTAGCACCTGCTGCCGGCCCCAACGCGCCGCTTCCGGGAGCTGCTTCGCCGGCTGCTATCTCTCCTCGCCCCCTCCTCTTCCCTCACTCCGGCACCACCACCACGCCCAACGGCCCGCAGGCAGGCGAGCAGCACGTCACGTGCCCACTACACTCGCAGCAGCAGCGGCAGCAGCTCCAGCACCACTCTAACCACCTCCAGCACCACCCGCATCCGCACCCGCGCGTCCAGCACCAGCAGCCATCGCCACAGCCTCACGTGGCCCTCTCACCGATGGAGGTCTCCTATCCCCGCCAGCACCAGCCGCACCCCTGCGTCCAGATCCCGGGCCAGCAGCCAGCGCACCACCACCACCACCAGCAGCAGCAGCCGGCCATGAGGGGCGTGGGCTCCGCCGCGACTCCCACGTCCCAACACCACACGTTGCAGCAGCAGCAGCAGCAGCAGCAGGGTACCTTTCCTCCCACAGCCTGTGGTGGTGCCGAATGACTCATCATCGATCTCGGCACCGCAGACGCCCTCTTCTTGAGCGACACCGAGCAGCGATTAGAGGACAAGAGCCCCAGCCAACTGTGCCTCGAGTTTGAACTGCAGAGCCTCCTCCTCGAGTACCTGGAGAAGGACATGGTCAACTAGGCCGGCCTGTTCTGACCCGCAGCGCTGCGGTACAGACCGCATCGCCAGCTTGCGGGTACGAGATGTACATAATACTGCAATATATATATATTCCTACTTTATAATCAATCATAAATACATATTCACAAATCTATTCTGTTTCGTTCGCACAACAACGAATAAGAAAGCGACAAAGAAATTTTCGCAAGAGGAAAAAGGGTCGCCCCGATCTTTCTGCTTTGTAGATCGCGCAGAGGAGACAATCCACAGCTGTTCCTCGTCGTAGAGAAGAGAGAGAGAGGAAGTGAGAGACGGGTCATGCAACTGCACCACATAGGGTGGCTTGTGGCGGGCATTTGCGCCCTCTTGGCCTTCCTGGTCATATGCTGGGTGGTGTTCAACCACCTCCTTTCCTATGCCTCTCCAGCCGTGCAGCGGCCCATGGTGCGCATCTTGATCATGGTGCCTGTCTACGCCATCGACTCGTGGCTCTCCCTCGTCTTCAAGGACTACGCACAATACTTTGACCTGGCACGCGACTGGCACGACCCCCCCCCGCAGGCACATGCTCTCGTGTCTGTGCACGACTAGCCGTGGCGCTACTTCTTTTGGTTTTCTTGTTCGAGAGAGGTGGGCTGACACTGCCTGGTCTGGTGGTGGTGGTGGTGGTGGTGGGTGCAGCTACGAGGCCTACGTGCTGTACACGTTCCTGAGTCTGCTGGTGGGTTTCATGGGCGGTGAGGCCACCCTCGTATGCGCGCTCGAGGAGAAGCCCCCGTGCAAAGTGCCCATCCCCTTCTGCTGCTTCCGCTTCAAGCCAGGCAGGTAGTTGCCGCACCCCGCACTTGACCACTCCTACACGATCCCTGTCTTGACACCCAGGTCGTGTGTGTCGTGTGTCGTGCGTGTCGTTCTCTTGTGTCCTCGTCTGTGGCTATAGCCACTTCTACCATCGGGCGAAGCAAATGATCCTGCAGTTCGTGCTGGTGCGACCCCTTTGCTCCCTCGCCACAGTGCTCTTCCTCGTGTTCGACATCTATGGCGAAGGTTCCTTTGCACCCAACCGAGGTACTTCTGACGCACGCACGCACGCACGCACGCGTGTGGCTGATCTCTCCCCAATGACTACAGGTTACCTGTACATCACGATTATCAATAACGTCTCCATCACGGTACCGCACGCAGCGCGCCTTTTGCGAGCCATGCCCTCAGCTCAGACGACTGACGATGCACACGTGTACGCACCTGCGATGGACATGCGTGGCACGTGCAGGTGGCGATGTACTACCTGGTCATGTTCTACGAAGCTCTCGCTGAAGATCTCAAACCCTTCCGTCCTGGTGCGTAGCTGCCTTACGCCCACCGCGACTGCAGTGTTTAAGAGCAAGGGACTTGGCAGGCCTAACAACAACAACAACTACAACAGTGGCCAAGTTTCTATGCGTGAAGGCGGTCATCTTCTTCGCGTTCTGGCAGGGCGTTGCCATTGCCATCCTTGCTCACTTCGGTGTGCTCCACGATGTACGTCGACTGGCCACTGCTCAAGGCGCCGGGCCATTATGATCATTCATTATTACTTGTTAGTTTTGGTTGGTTGGTTGGTTGGTTGGTTGGTTGGTTGGTTGGCGGATAAAGGAAGAAGGATTAACGTGCGCCGTGTGTCCATTTGTGGTG